GAGACTATAAAAAATTTGTTTTTTCTACTTTGACTCAGCCGGGGATCACACCCATTGATGAAATATCTATGATCAAACCCGAGACCTCAGAGATGGTGACACTATGAAAGCCGGTATGCTACCCACTCGACCAAAAAGGCTGTCGAAATCATGGACAGGAATATCATGAAACTACAGTTCATTTTACGAATTATACTTATAAGAAAATGTTGGCAAATTTCAATATTTAATCTTAATAGCAGTAATCTGGAGAAAGAGTACGTCCATGACAATTTAATCCGTGGATTATATCAAGATGGCGGATCTTAATAGTATGGAAGCATACAATTTGTTCTGAATTATAAGGAATTTGCTGCTTAAGGAAGGAAGGCAAGGCTTATAAAGGGTTATAAGGGAAAAAAGTACACACAGTCGTCCATTGTGATAACGAAATTACCCGGCGTTATCTCTTTTCGGAGCAGCTAAAGTGTCAAATAGATTACCTACGTACAGGCGCTATTACCACAGTGTAATGAAACACGTAGTGGAAGTAGAGCAGTAGAGCTCCTTGTGAAAGAGTACATCTAGGGAAGTACTGCTACCTTATCTACTTCTGCCGCCAAACAAAATTGTAAGCATTACTGCGTTTCGATTTTGAAGGGTAAGGGTGCTAGTAAAATTACAAATGGGACTTATCAACTTATGTCTCAGGGTGTCGGGCGCAGTGGCAGTGCCCTTCAGATCTTTGTGATTTAAAGCTCTGAGTGGCACTGCAATTGTTAGGCACATACGTGTCACTTACCACCAGGCACACAACTTGTTCGTCCCGTCACATAGTATTATAAAAAAATAAAAGAATTTATTTTTATTCCTAAGTTACTTCTCATTGGTCATTTGATCAAACGCCTTCTTTAGGTTGTGTATTTGAGAAATAAGTTTAAAGAGATTAACATTCTTAAACTAACGTAACTGTAAATACAGTTATGAAAATATTATTTATGTTAAGAAAAACATTATAATTTATTATAACAATAAATATTTTTATGAAATATGTTGACAGACATAACATTAAAACGAGGAATAAAAATAAACTAGCTGTTATTGACAGTCGCCCCTCAGAGCTTTGCGATTTGAAGCTCTGAGTGACACTGCAACTGTTATGGACAGGCGTGTCCCGTCACTTGATATTATAAAAAAATCCACAAAGAGGATACATTCTTCCCAACATTCAAACATTTTTTATTGATAGATGAACACAGGTAACAGAAAACCACAGACAAATATTAGTAGAATTTTCAATCAAAAGATCCAACTATTCGGTGTTTGTTGTGCTTATAGTCAGCAAATGCTTGTCTAACCATTAAATGCCTAAACGTAACTTTAACAACGCGGTTGTTTTGCGAAGTTTAATGGATGACTAATCCATGGTTGAGCCTGCTAAACCGTGCATAGTCAAAGCCGCGCTTAAACAATGGATTAGGTTTTTATTTACGAGAACCAGTAGGCACATAACTAGATAATTTAATAATTAACACTCACCCCGTCCAACACTTCGTTGAAAAGACTATTTTCAATCTTATTTTGTAGTCATAATGACAGTGACAATTATAACGTTAGTCAAGTTCGTTATTTTTGTCCTTATATCTATTTTACATTAAGGGGATAGTTCGATCCGATGCACGACCACTGAGTCTATTGTACATACATTCCAGTGTAAAGCGGTGCCATTAGAGGCCGTAATAAAACAAGGTTTGAGAACCTTTTTAGACTGCTAGTCTGTAGCGTGTCCTATGACCGTTTATATATTTCACAACCAGATTGATGTCATACTTAAAAAGGGTGTCATGGAACATCACTAGTGACTATGTACACCAAACATGCGGTTATTTAGCGCAAAATCAAGTAGAATAAAAAGTCTTTATGTTTATCTAGATTCTAGAGTGTAAACAGGAGGTAAATAATTAAAACCGACTTCAAACGTTCGTGCAATTACATCTATTTGCCATGTTTTATTGAAATCGATTAGCGGAAAGTGCGGAAAATCTGATACATCCCCTAGTTTGCCACCCTTAGAGGTGGAATATTTTCTTCAAATTAAAATGGAACGAATACTGATGTACCCTCTTTCCAACGAAAAGTCGTTCGAGTAATCGTGTGATTAACTTGTAATTTTAACTGACTTCAAAAAGAGGATGAGGGTCTCAATTATTCAGTGTTTTTTTTGTATGTATGTTACGCAATAACTCCCATAAATTTGTGATCAAATTATGATGATTCTTTTTTTTATTGGAAACAGGGTACCTCCATAGTGGTCCCATTCAATTTTGAAGAAAATCATCCACGTTTAAAGGTGGCTGTTCATGAAGACTCATTTTTATAAATAGCAACTAAATTGTATTATAAGGAGCAATTATTTTAATGATTGATTTTGCTATTATCCTATTCAAGGCGTTTCTCTCTCGATATACTTTAAGCAGTGAGCACCGATTTTTATTATCTCCCGTGTCAAGTCCCGTATAGAGGCCAACTATGGGATGAATCCGGGTTTGCGCACTTTCCGGTAACCGATCCGGTATCTACACATATATATATGTAGATATAGAATAAAACCACGTAGGGAAAGTCTTAAGCTCTACTGACTCGATTTGTAGCTCAAATTGTAACAGCGGTAGCATCAGTTTGGCAAAGTCTAAAGAATTTTTGTTTGATTTTTTCTATATATATATATATATATATATATATATATATGTATATGTATAGATACATAATAAAACCACGTAGGGAAAGTCGTAAGCTCTACTGACTCGATTTGTAGCTCAATTTGTAACAGCGGTAGCCTCAGTTTGGCAAAGTCTAAAGAATTTTTGTTTGATTTTTTCTTTTTGTTATTAAAAAATAAGTGCTCATTTCACTTCCATATCACCTGATGAAAAGTGACGATGAAGTCCACGACGGAGCATGCACACCCAAATAATGCCTATTGCCTCTCGCCTTCAAAAGGCCCAAGTTATACCGTTCACTTTTCACGCTTTTCACTGTTCACGTTCAGTTAGAATATTCAATCTTTGTATTAATAATAATTCAAAACTGTTTAGGTTAGTCAGTTAAAACAACTAAAAATAAATATTATGAAGCGATTGACGCGGGTCAAGAAGGCCAGAGGGCTAGCTCGGTGGCGTAGCAAAAGAAAGTCCGTAATGTTTTCCTACTCCATTCGCAGACAGGCGAGATGTCATTTGATCTTGTCTTCAATTCAATTAATCTGAAACTAAATAATTAAACTGTTCCTCGCAAAAAATCCCCTAATGCCTGTTAATAAATTCCACCGGTTTAACTTTCAACTCCAGATTTTAATCTCCTAACAAAGTAGCTTTACATACATTTTAAATTATTTTATTCTCAAATTCTCTTTTTCGTTCCCATGAGTTCTTTATAACATAAACTGTGCTCTTTATAATATTAACAAAGTTGAAGGGACATTTCCAAAATCAAAAGAAATAATACTGTTTTTTTTAATGATAAATGATGGGACAAACAAGCTACGCCACACGCCTATCCATAACAGTTGCAATGCTACTCAAAACTCTCTGCCACTACACCCGTCACCTAAAACATAAGTTCCATATACCTAACGTGTCTATTATTTTTTCATATCACAACAATACATTTAATTAAAATTTTTGATATTTACATTTGACAAATAAACTTAAGATATTTCCGGTATTTGTGAACCGATTTTCATGATTCTTTTTGTTGGAAAGGGGGTACTTCCATAGTGGTCCCATTGCATTTTGAAGAAAATCATCCACCTCAAAGGGTGGCTGTTCACGCATGAAGATTCATTTTCATAAATAGCGCCTAACATTAATTTAGGAGCAATTACTTTAATGGTTGATTTTGCTATTTCTCCAATTCAAGGCGTTTTTCTCTCAATATACTTTGAGTAGTGAGAACCGATTTTTATTGTCTCCAGTGTCAAGTCCTGTATAGAGGCGAACTAACTTAGCAAATAGACGTAATTCCACGTACTTTTGAGGTCGGTTTTTTTAGTACTCTGTACTGAGATTATTTATCTGTTTAAAACGCAAATCTATGAAAATATAATTGAATAAATAAATATGTAATCAGATAAAGCAAGTACAAGATTTCAATATAAGTTTAATTCCTAAAGATTCAAACGGATTGGACGCAATGGATTAAATTCAATCGAAAGTTTTGGTTAAACCAAACAATCGAACCTCGTATGAGCAGGAGATTTGCGGAGCATATCGTTGAAAGTTCAATATCTATTATAGCAAGTTACGGCGTTTTGATTTCATAATATTGAAATTTTATTAAATGGGCTGCCATCTATCGGCAATAGCTGAAAGAAGACGAACGATTTACGTTCTTCAAAAAAAGTCGACCATATTGCAACACCATAAAGCTTACTTTCTTTTCTTATAACAAAAAATCTATTACGATAAACAGATAATGAAAATTCATTAAATAACATAAGAGTTAGCAATGATATGAAACACCATCAAAAATAATATTACTGGCGCAACTATGTCATAACATGGGGTTTTTCAAAAAGTGTGTCAACAGGGCTCTCAAAGGCTGGCAACGTATAGGCAACTCCTCTGATGTTGCAGTTGGCCACGGGTCTCATAAAGTAGCTCGTCGGCTCGTTTGCCTCCTAGTTTACATTAAAAAAACATTCAAATTCCGGCAATAAAATTAACTCATAACGATGATGTACAATCACCATCACACTTCATCTTTGCTCGTGCGCAAAATTAACTTTATAGCCATTTATGATGATAAGAACCGTAGTGTTGAGTGTGCTGTCGCCTGTACATCGAACGGTAAACTGAGCTTCAAGTACTCTGTGGTCGTTGCCGTCTATTCGTAATTGAATTTAAACGTTATATGTAAAGACTTACGTCCTGCAGTGGTCTGCAGCAGCACAACTCATGGTTACCCCCAAGTTTAATGATACTAAACAAATAGCTAGAAATATATGTCCTTATTAACACCAGGTACGTAGCCATTATGAGCCCACTACGACCTCGCCTGGGCAAGAGAGCGACTTTGGCGATAGCAGCACTTATCTGGGCAGGCAGCTCGGTCATCAGCAGCCCGAACTTCATTTTCTTCACTACTGACGTCACTGAGCAACACGACGGCAGCAGAAGGTAAGAAGACAACTTTATCTTCTATTCTTTGTGAAACCTAGAAAAAAAAGGGAACGATTTTAGTATACATGAAACATCGAAGATAATAATGGTAACTAGTCATAGTGTCCGCGCTCAATGTCTTTTTTCTCCTAACTTTTATACTTACTGATTCCTTGTTTTATCCGTCTAGATACTTGTTACAAAGTAGCCGCGTAATATGGATCTCAAAATATGCAACAACTTGTCAATTCTCTTTGACAAAGTTCTCAGAATGGCATATTTAAGTACCGTTTAATCTTAACAATTCTCTCCGTGAACTTTGGCACAATTAACATTTCGCGATGATGTAAATTGAGAAGTTAAATTATTGATAACGTTGCGTTTAGAAACGCGTGGGTGGAAGATGTTATCTCTCGTTCAGAATAATGTTTAAGGGGTTCTGTTACACAGCAATTGCAACAAAGAAGCATGCCAAGAGACTTATAAGTGACTCGGATTTAGTAGCTGCTGTATAGCCAGCGAATACTACCGTAAAGTTGCCTGCTTTATCGGTATTCTACAGGATATATGTGCGAGAGAATTGAATGATTTAATTCCGCCTTCCCTTTCCATTTTAGGGGAACTAGACGTAGGCTGAGAGTCCACCTCTATGTTGTGGATATTACATGGATTCGCACGAAACCTTTCGCTTCCACTTTTTCATGGCGAACGACTATGGAATGGAGACGCTATTCCCCGAACGCTTTAGCTTGGTCCTTTCAAGGCGAGAGTGAATAGGCATTATTTAGGTGTGCATAGTACATCGTCGATCTCAGCGTCACCTTCCATCGGGTGAGATAATAGTCAAATGCGCGCTTTTTTGAAAATAAACAAGAGTTAGGGTTGCTACATTACTGCAGGGTGTCAGACATGTTCGCAAAACCTTATACGGATGGCTTCCATTCCATTCTTAGAAAGAAAGCTGCATTATTGTTAAATCATATTACAATAATATCTGCTCGCCCACCGCGCTCCGTGTATGGATCCACACATTCACTTAGTCTCGTGCGGCGTGGTCATATTCAATCAAGAACAAGGACTTCCCACCCATATTAATTTTATGCGGAGGGAGGGTGCGATAATTAACTGCATGAAAAAATATTCAACACAAGCGCAGCTATTTTGCACGATTTAACCTTCAATGGGTTCGCGGAGTAGCAAATTAATTTACTTCAATTTTTATAATTTTTTATTTACATAATTGAATATTTTCTTATGAATCAACTTAGGATTTTTAAATTTTCGCTTTACATTATAATTACCTATTACGCCTACGTTTGACCATATTGCACTGCCCGTGGTCGTATCACACCGTACTTAGAAGCTGTTAGAACCTAAGTTTTCTGTGTCTATGATTTTGTTGCTTCTTTCAACCTTTCTATCAATAACATATCATTCTCAGACCTACGCAACACGAAGAAAGCTAGTCTTCTGCAATAACTTGATCGCTGAAATTACACATTTATATTTATAATTCAATTTTGAACCCTGAAACCTAATTAACATGGAAACAACATATCTATATTAATCTAACATATTAACTTTTTTTCACAGACGGGTGTGTTATGCCGAATGGCCTGACGGCGTAACCACTCTCTCTACTTATGAATACGCGTAAGTATCTCAATTCTTTTTAAAAAAAACTCGTATTTTATATTTAGAGGATTTAAAGATAGTCAGGAAATATCAAGTTAAAACACCCAGTACACCGATATAAATTTAGATAAGCATTACGTAATACTTACTGTGCCCTATTCTTACAAAGAAATTAAATTGGTTGATAGATTTTAAGGTTGCCTTTCCACCAGAGATGTGCGACGCACCGAAGCAGAGTGCGAGGAAAAAATACACCAATAGGATTACTTCATTTGCCTAGCCTCGCTTAGCTCAGCGCCGGTGGAAAAGGGTTGGCGGAGCTAAGTATTTGTACATACAAAATAGCGAGAAATGTGTGGGAGAGATGCGGGCGAGCCACGGTGTAGAAAACTAGAGCTACTGAAAATATGACACGCGCATAACTGAAAAGAATTCGTAACGCATTCTCGCACAGCTGTGGTGGAAAACATCACACCGTTTCCCAATGTTGCTACACATCCTCGCACCGCCTCGCTACCTCACACATCTCTGGTGAAAAGGTAACCTAAGACTCGTGGTTATTCACTAAATGATATAATTAATTACAGTTTTCTTATCATGATATGACTTCAGAATGATTATACGCCCTATAATACAGGGTTGAATGGCCAGTGACATTTGACGGACATAAAATATAATCTCGATACCTTGCGGCGCTACTATTGTCACTCGCTTTCTGAAAAAAAACTAGCCAGCCAACCGTTGACCATGAATCGTGTAACCAGTTCGAAATATTGGGAGAATAATAAGAAGTCATACCGTGGTAAGAATCCGTTCTAATAATTTATTAATAATTTGATTTCCTTGCCTGAGGACTTAATCTCTGAGCAGCGGCAACCAATCTTTAATAAATACCGTATTAACTGGTAGCGTTCGCTAAGTAGTCTGTGCTGGTAGCGTATATGTGCTGCATACGTATATGACGGCGGTATATAGAGGACAACGCCACCTCACCTGCAGATCAACTTTCTTACTTCATATCGAGTTCTTAGGTTTTCGCAATTGTTACACATAGGAAATGAAACTATTTTTCCGGATTTAAATCGCGTATATTTGTTTTTTCAAACAAACCGACGTTTCGGGCCCTTTACAGGTCCCATGGTCATGGTTGTTCTTACTTCAGTTAGAAAATAATTTTGCATTAAAACTCCATGCTGTTTAAAAAAAACATACAGTTAGATTTTAGGCAATATTTTTAGTATTAAAACCATTGATTTACAATTATATGGATGACGGATCTAATACAAAAACCACGAAAAAAATGTCCCAAGTCAACCTATTTAAACGTAGTGACATGTCAAGGAATATGAAAAACCTAAAACGTTGAATTTAAATTGTAATGTCATCGCAGTACTGTCTAATTTTGCTTGCTTCGCTGTCAGTCGAACAAACGAAGACTAGAGCGTGAATGACGCTCTGTATACGATTTTAACGCCCTATAATTTCGGACACTGTTTAGCGCGGACCCGACGTCCATATAATTGTAAGTCAATGATTAAAACCGAAAACGTTTGTGTAGGTGTAGTTGTTACGTTACATATGTTATGCGATAGCTCGAGTATAAGGGAATCGATTTTGATGATTCTTTTTGTTGGAAAGAGGGGTATCTCAGTATTGGTCTCATTTAAATGTGAAGGAAATATTCCACCTCTAAGGGTGGCAAATTTGGGGATGAACCCAGTTTCGCGCACTATCCGGTAACCGATTTCAACCAAACTTGGCAAATAGATGTAATTCCACGTACTTTTCAGGTCGGTTTTTTAATAAAAAAGTTATTACTATATTTTTGACGAACTCCGTGGTCGACTTATTTACACACTGATTTTCATGGTGTCGCCATCTCTGAGGTCCCGGGTTCGATCCCCGGCCGGGTCAATGTAGAAAAAACTAACTTTTTTGTAATATCCCCGGTATGGTAGTTTGTGGTGCTGAACGAACAGATTTTCTACACTAAGTTTCGGTAATTATGCCCATTAGCTCCACCAGTCTATTTCGTACTATTGATCAATCAGATGTACGGTAGGATATCGTCTTTATATACTTGGTTGATATTCCATTCAGGCGTGCCAAGCGTTTTTCGTCATCTTTTATAATGGAATTCCATGCCCGCGTCTACGTTGCCGAGCACATACAACCCAAATATCTTTGAAGTGCGATTGAATAGACATCTTTTGATCGAGCTTGCTCAATTGTAGACCCCTTCTTTGCCTGCTTCCACTCTTTTAAGCACAATTTACATTGCTGCGGAACGTAATGAAAGCGAATTTTGTAACGAAATCGTACATAGCATAACAAACTTTATGTCTTACAAATTAGATACGATACAATAACTGCGGGCATTCCTGAGATTGCTCGAGAATTTTCAGGAAGACACGAGACCTGTTTTTTTGCTGGTATCTAGTTTATACGTTACACAAATGACGTCGAGTTCACAATTCCGTTCCACGGCATAACAAATTGAACCTTAAGCGCTTACGTTTTTATTGTATTTTAAAGTGTTATATGTACTTATTACTTAATATAAACCTAAAAACCTTCATCATTCAATCGCTACTTATGTTCAAAATTAATCTTCTTCTTAGTGTGCCGCTGCTTTATGAAGGTTAACGACCATCATCGCTATCTCTATTTTAAGAAAGAGGGAACATGTACGAAAATTGAATCAGTCTAACGAATTCTTCTACTAGGAGGCTGCCTTCGTACACGACTACGCTTACCTTAAATTTTCCACTTCGTTTTTAGTTGAAGATTCCGGTACCCATAGCCAATTATACTGCAGTTACCTTTCATTTACACTTGTGAGTGTTTTCAGCTCCTCCTCCATACGGCGTAGAATCTCAACATTGGTTACCCTTTGGACTCTAGATATATACCAAGCAAACATCTGTACAGCCACATCTCAAAGTCTCAAAATCTCTCATTATGTTCAAAACTCCAGTTCTAAGCTTGAGCCTACCGGGGTTGAACCCACCTACTTAAAAAATTAAAATGCTTCTTGTGGTAAGGGACATGCTTCTCCAAAGCAATTGCAGTGACACTCAGAGTTTTAAATAGCAAAGATCTTGTGGGCACCGCGCCCATCACCATGAGATATAAGTTGACAAGTCCCGTGTGCCTGTAAATTCACCCCCACTCTTGCCCCCCAAATCCGCACACAATAATGCACGCATTATTGCTTGACGGCAGAAATAGTTACAGTGGTAGTATATCTCTGGACAAACTCTTTCACAAGGAGCTTTATTGCTATTTATAATTGAATTAAGTATGTGTGACAGTATCTAACATATATAAAATACATAACCCCCGTAGTCCGGCCACCTCGATAAAGCTATTATATTCAAATTTAGCTCTTAAATTCGAGTGATAAACCGGCATTTTAAAATTTTATCACAACTAACATGGCGAGCACCGTGACGTCGCATTTTTATGTCATTGTCACCGCGAGCGCCGCGACCAATGACTGCAAAAGATTAACACAGTGCCAAACATGGCTACAAGGTCACAGCTGATTTTAAAACATTTTGACAGTTCTGTACAGTCATTTTGTCGACGTAAAAATTAAGCACGTTAAAAACAAACAAATTGATATATATAAATCATTGGAAAAAGGTGAGGAGAATATTTTTAACACTGTTCAATAGATGAGAGTATAAATACGTACATAATAACTAATTAATATATAATATGTAAAAACAGAAACTACAAAACCCGACTTTTTTGTTTCATCGTTTTCGCGACGATGATTAAACGACTAAGACAGCTATATATGCAAATATCGTTGTCCTTACAACTAAACTTGGCTTAATCAACTGAAATAAATATGGTCACGGGAAGGTTTATCACACCTATACTGCCATGCTACGACAATGAAGAAGGTAAATGTATCATCAAAATCCGGGTCCAAAACATTTCAAATAGCAAATTCCATACGAAAAAGCCTAAGCCTACTAAAGACATAACAGCGGACCAATAGCAAACGGAGTTAGAAGTTGAACCTTCAAAATGTATAATAACCAGTAATAGAACCATTCTGTACTGAAAAGAATACATTAATGAAAGTCTGTGCCAGTCAAGAAAGCCACAAAAGCTGTATGTTGTCCAGTCCCCTTAAATTATGATGAATCGTACCTTTTTGCCCAAAGCCCCGGGCGTGTTTCTGCAAAGTTCTGACGGCTTGAAACCCAATGTAATAGCACCCATAAGATTTACAAGAGGGCAAGTTTTTTTCAACAGCGCGTAACAAATGAAACTTTGTATCATCGGACTGTTATTTTGAAACTGTACTTGATGAGTCATGTATCATAAGAAAGGCGTGGCTTATTCCAGCGTAACCCTGATCGACTTTTTGAAATTTGGCTAGCCCAATAAAAAGTCGCTATTTAGTCGGTTCTGCTCTAAAAAACTAGATTTAGTCACTTCGCTGCGTAAGTGAGGGCTCAATAAGGCATCTCGCAATGCTTTTGTTGTAAATCTTAGATATCCGTATTTAAAAGATACAAAGAAATATCCTTCTTATTTCTACGGATTTGGTTAATAAAATTTAAGTCTTTAGTATTGTATACAACTGAAATCATCAAAGCTTCACTATGAGCAAAATGTATTGAGCATTGCTTAACATGAATAAAATTTGCCCTGTCATTTGTGCCCCATATGGAACCTAATTTCACATCCTTGAAGTTCTATCAGTTGCCTGCCTGAATGAGATTGGGTTTTTTTTCTGGCACGCTACTATGACTATATTCTAAAAGAACTGTTTTGACTGATTGTAATCTAAAACAGTCTTTTAGATTATAATCATAGCAATCTGCCAGACAATCACACCTGGTCTTAAACTAGATTATTCACTATACTATGCAGAGTAACGGAATTCTCTCCGGGGCACTACTCAGATAATCCAGTAAATAGAAACCTCCCAAAGTCCCAAGTTGGTCCTACCGAAAATCAAACCTGGTACCTCCACATCTAGTGCCCACAAAGCA